GCCGCGGACCTGACAGCCGCGCGGGTTGACCTGGTGGCCCGCAGGACCCAGCCCTCTGAAGCGTCGCGGGCATCTCCTCCCTCCGGCCCGCCCCAAAGGCTTCTCGCGCGGGACAGCCCCCTCCCCGGCAAGAGACTTGGGAACCTTCCCCTCCCGGGAGGAGAGAGACGCCGCTCGGGGAGCTGAGCTGCTTCCCGCCCTCTGCGGGCTTCTCCTCATTAATTTTCAGCGCTTCTCTCTTCGAAAGGGGGGGGGGCACCATGTCTTTCTTCAACTTTCGCAAAATCTTTAAGCTCGGCTCCGAGAAGAAGAAGAAACAATACGAGCACGTCAAGAGAGACTTGAACCCGGAGGATTTCTGGGAGATTATAGGCGAGCTGGGAGACGGGGCTTTCGGGAAGGTCTTCAAGGTAAGAGACCACTGGAGAAGTGGCAGCTGAGCCCCCGTGGTATATTGTTGCTTCCCACAAGTGCTTCGCAAACTTGCCTTTCTGAAAAGGCCTGGATCGCGAAGTAGCCTTGTAACCTCTTGGGCATCTGAAGGAGTGGGCTGTGCCCACGGAAGCTCATGACACCACCTACATGTTTCCTCCCCCTTCTTTAATATCAGCAATTCACAGACACTTACCTTCCTTCCTCCCCCCCCCCCCCCCCCCGCATCCCCCTTCTGTTCTGCAATGTGATTTGTCCTTTTCATTTTGTTCATTTTTTTTAAATTGTATCCTTTGGTATATATGGTTGTGACTACTTTCTTCCACTATTTGATCTGAGGAAGTGGGTCTGGCCCACGAAAGCTCATCATCTAATAAACCATCTTGTTAGTCTTTAAAGTGCTACGTTGTCCTGCATTTTGCTTCAACTACCCCAGACTAACACGGCTACATTTCTATCACTATCTTTGTTCATTTTTTTTAAATTGTATCCTTTGGTATATATGGTTGTGACTACTTTCTTCCACTATTTGATCTGAGGAAGTGGGTCTGGCCCACGAAAGCTCATCATCTAATAAACCATCTTGTTAGTCTTTAAAGTGCTACGTTGTCCTGCATTTTGCTTCAACTACCCCAGACTAACACGGCTACATTTCTATCACTATCCTACATGTTTTGTTAGTCTTTAAAGTGCTAGCAGACTACTTGTTTTTTTAAGTTTATTCTGGACAGACTAACTCCACTACTCCCTGGAGCTTTTGTAACATAAGTATTACACCCATTTTACACTTGGGGAAAGGGAGGTAAATAAGTTGTAATTTACTCAAAGTTGCAAAGCTAACCCTTAAAAAAAAAAAAAAAAGCTTTTACAAACAAGTGGTCCTATACAAAAAACAGGACTATGTAGCACTTTAAAGACTAACAAGATGGTTTATTAGGTGATGAGCTTTCGTGGGCCAGACCCACTTCCTTAGATCAAATAGTGGAAGAAAATTGGCACAACCATATATACGAACAAAATTATATAGAGTATCGTGAGCTTTTGTGGGCAAAAACCACTTCTTCAGATGAGATGATCTTGAGTGTTGGGCTACCTGAAAGCCCTAATCATCTCAAAGAATCAGAAATTGGAAATGGAGAAGTCAGATTAGGTCATGTTCCTCTCTGTCCTCCACCCTGGCCACTGCTGAGTTGTTTCCCAGTCTTGCCTTTTTTTCTTCTTCTCCTGTATGTTGTTCAATTTGGCTTTTAATCTCTCAAGGGAAAGGTTTCTTCTGTCAATCATAAGTGGTATTTTCCATCCCTGGCTTTATCTAAAAAACAAAAGTAAAATTGACCTCAGTGTCTCTTACAGAAGCATAAGTGCTGATATTTTTAATAAGTGCATTTGCATTAATAGAATTGTACCCCTTTATAGAACATAAGAATGGCCGTACTGGGTCAGACCAAAGGTCCTTCTAGCCCAGTATCCTGTCTGCTGACAGTGGCCAGCACCAGGTGCCCCAGAGAGGGTGGACCGAAGACACGATCAATGATTTGTCTTCTGCCATCCCTCTCCAGCCTCTGACAAACAGAGGCCAAGGACACCATTTTATCCCCTGGCTAATAGCCTTTTATGGACCTAACCTCCATGAAATTATCTAGCTTCTCTTTAAACTCTGTTATAGTCCTAGCCTTCACAGCCTCCTCTGGCAAGGAGTTCCACAGGTTGACTACACGCTGTATAAAGAAGAACTTTCTTTTATTAGTTTTAAACCTGCTACCCATTAGGATTGAAGTAAATGTCCCAGTGCTACTCAGGTTCTTTTTAAATACAAGCATTTGTGTGTTGGTTGTACTAACTTGTTTCAGTTGTTTGATTTAAAATATTGAAATATAGCAACAATAATTTATATTGCTATAATTTAATTTGTATAGACTGCTTACTATCTTATGCTTCACTGAAGAACCCTATGTTGTAATACTTTTAGATTTGTTTAAGACACTATGGCTACGTCCACACTGACCAGTCTTGCGCACGAACAACATTGCTGTGCCTCATTTGCATACTTAATGAGCCTCCATTTTTGTTCAAGGGGCTTTTGTGCAAGAAGGAGCAGTCTACACTGCTTGAAAATAAGCGGCAGACCGGTTCTTGCGCAAGAGGGGGGTTTTGCGCAAAACCGGCAGCTCATTAAGTATGCAAATGAGGCCTGGCAATATTCATCGCCGTTCCTTATTTGCATATGGTCTTGCTCAAGGCTGGCCAGTGTAGACGTAGCCTATCAGAGAGAGATCAAGAAATACATTTATGCCTTCAAACGTTTTTCCCTGTTGGCTTTGGGTTTCACAGATGGCACCAATGCCTCTGGTTTGTTTTAGGGATTACATAATGTTTGTTTGTTTTTGGCAATGGGGAGAGAACTGCATCCTCAAGTTCCTCAGGGAACAGACCTGAGGCTGTAGGTATGACCGTGAGAGAAGTTCTCCTCCTGATATAGCTCTGTGCACACAAATGCTTATGTTCGTATAACTTGTGTCTCTCTGGAGAGTGTAATATTTACACACAGTAGCAATATAAGTTTTGCTGACATTGGCTATATTGTACACTACAATCTAAGTTAGGATACCGGTTCTAATTCAAGAGTTGGGATTTCAGGACTCTTCTATGTAAACAACATCAACTACAATTTGAAACCAAAGTTGGGATTTTTCAAAGCCGAATAGGGCAGGAATTATTGATCTTTTTCTTTGAGTCCCCCCCACATGCTATAAAAATTCCACAGCCCACTTGTGCATATTGCATAACAATAAATGGTTAAATTACAAAGCAAATATAAATCTGGTGAAAAGTGATTAGAGCTAAGCTTTATCTGGCATTCAGGTGGGGGTTGGGGCAAATATCACTTGGTCACAATTCCATTCTGAAACTAGTAGACAAACCATGTTAATTAAGTAGATCCTAGATGTCAAAGCCTTCAGTGAATCTAAATCAAGCTATCTTTGTTATCTTGCTTAGAAGTAGTGAAGAGTACTCAGAAGTGTCTGATCATAGAGTTATTAGATTTTATTCCTGGAGCGAATATAATTTTCATGAAAACATGAATATAAAAACCTAGTTTTCTCTCAATTGGATTTAAGTAGACTAAAACATTTTTTTATGTAACTGTTAAATCCCTAGGAACCTGTGTGTGAATTTCCTTATTCTCAGTGTTTCAGCAGATTTACAATAAACACTAAACAAAACAGGTTTTGTTTCTTGGGTATTTAATGCAAAACAAAGCTCAGGTTGTTTACTTGCTTTGGTTTACATTTAGAAACATCTTTTAAGTAGTCAGAACTCATTTTTGGGTGACAAAATATGCTTAAGCATCTTTTTCTTGAGCATATTTTACTATTGATCATGAAATTGATTTGATTAACTGTATTAATATGCATTTATTTAATATTGGATATATTAACCTCACATAATATAGTTGAAGACTTTAGGATATCTAATTTGTAAGGGGGATTGCTAATATCAATGCTCTTTCCCCTTTCTAATCATTTATTCAATTACAGTTAATTTCGGTTTTATTAGCTTGCGTGTGACATACATCTTGCAAATACTAAAAAAGAAAAGCATATACAGTCTAAATCAGAAATGTCAATATAATCCGTTAAAATATTACTCAGAACTGCATAAAAAGTCCTCTTCAATACAGTGCTAGAAGAGCAAAAATTGCCAATTTAATGACTATAGTAAAAAGTTAATTATCCAGCATATTGGGGGTGCCAATTAATCAAATATTCTGATTGTTATACTTTCCAATGGAATACCAATTTTCAAAGAATTAGAATACAATAAAATGAATACAGTATAAAATAGTATACAGGTACTAGCCAATCCAGTAGTAGGACTGTAAAGAATGGTTGGCTTCTTGAATTGGGTGTATACAGGTCAAGTTTTCAATACAGTAGGTTATCTTATGAAAAAACAATGAAGTCTCTTGTGGCATCATAAAGACTAACATTTATTTGGGCATAAGCTTTTGTGGGCTGGAGCCCACTTTTTCAGATGCATAAAAAGTGGGCCCCAGTAAAATACATTTGTGAATCTTTAAAGGTGACACAGGATTCTTTGTTGTTTTTACTCAAACAGACAAACACTTCTACTCCTTTGAAACGTATCTTATGACACATGTCACAATGGGTGGGTAGTGCATGGTTTACAGCCAGATCACTAAAAATACATTTAACACTAGAACTATGAACATAATTTAATCTTTCTTTGATTCTGAAGGCACTTCAGGATCTTGCAGTGCCTCAGAGTCGTCATCATCAACAATTATCACTTTAGGTATATAAGATTGGGCTGAATCTGCATTGGCTCTGATATACCCTGGAAGCTGCTATTTGATTAAAACCTTATCAGCCTCCTTACTTGTCTTCTGCATCTTTAGCATGAAAATAGTGCAGAATGTGCAATTGCTTAATCACCTGGTTAGTATTCCAGTCCCGGTTGCTCGTAGGGATGTTAAAATGCGTTTAATCAAGTAAACATGTAACTACTGAAAATTTCAGAGGATACAGAGAAAGCAGTGCGAAGGGGGCATGTGGCCCCCTGGGAGCTGGTGTGCAGTGGGAGCCAGATCCCCACACACATCAGGAGCCTGCATGTAACCATGAAGGCTAACAAATGAGCCCAGGCTCATAGTGTAACTGTGTACATAGATAACCTTTCATATCCCTAGTTTACTAGATGGAAGATATTTATCAGGAGGTATCAGAAATATGGGTTAGTAGATTTGTGGTTTATAAGTGCTGGATAACACTGCTTTTACTATACTAGGGATTAAGCAAATACTACAAGCATCTTTTGAGATGACAAAAAACCCCAAACAAACCAACCCCCAAAGAGGTTAAACCCACTGTTCTCTCAGGATATGTCTACACTTCATTCCTCTTTCGAGAGAGGAATGCAAATTCAGCTGAGTGACATTGCAAATGAAGTGGGGATT